TTGTTTTCGTTAAATTTTTGTTTTGGCCGATGACCAAAAGAGGTGGCGGTCGGAGGGATGGAGGAGTCCGTGTCGGGGCATTAAGTCCGCGACTTATTTACGACTCACTTTTAACTGCTCACCTCTACATTATATTTATTAAGTAGATGTAATATATGTTCGTCCGCTCGTAAAGGACGTTTCGTCGTCACGGATGGATTTATCGCGATATTTTTTCTTGTTGTTGTTGTTGTTGTTATGACCGCATTCCGATGGGACTAACCTAGGGACTCACCACCACTCTCTTCTTCTCTCTGTGTTCCAGGTACATCCACAGCAAGGAGAAGCCCTTCAAGTGCACCGAATGCGGCAAAGGATTCTGCCAGTCCAGAACCTTGGCCGTCCACAAGATCCTCCACATGGAGGAATCACCGCACAAGTGTCCCGTCTGCAGCAGATCCTTCAATCAACGTTCCAACTTGAAGACGCATCTCCTCACGCACACCGACATCAAACCTTACAATTGCGCTGCCTGCGGTAAAGTCTTCCGACGGAACTGCGACCTCCGCAGACACAGCCTTACTCATAACCTAGGAGCAGGAGCGGCGGCCGCAGCCGCTGCAGCAACCATGTCCAATCTGATCACCAATCCGAACTTCACCATAGACAATATCATCAGTAAAGCGAAAACGACCTAATCCAATAAAACAAGACACCAGCAAACAGAGCGAAAGAAAAGAATTCTTTTGGAAAGAAATGCTAAGCGAAAAAGTCTCGTTTCGTTTACTTGCTGTGATAGAAGACGCGTGCAATTTTGCTACGGTCGATGCCAAAAAACTTAGGTCAACTTAAGTTTTCACATTCTTGCTACGATCGATGCCAAAACAACTTAGGTCTGCTGGAACATGACTTAGGTTTTCAGTTTATTTTTTGCTACAATCCATGTCAAAAAGTAACTTAAGTCTACCTAAACGTGACTTAAGTTCTAATATACTTGCTACGATTAATGCAAACAAAAAGAACTTAGGTTCATGATTTAGGTTTACAACGAGGAAGGAAGATCGTTTCATAATTTTTATTATCAACTGTTTCAATGCACATTGCCGTGATTTGTGAGAAATTTTCGTTGAGAACGAACGAAATTCGTGTACATAATTAATTTTAGGTGAACTATACGTACTTGAATTAAACAAAAAATATAGATATATACATAGTTGTTTATATTATAAATAATGATATTTTTCTTTTTCTTTAATTATTTGTACAATACATGTTTTTTTTTGTTTTTTTGTTTTATTTTTTTCAGTTGTCTTTAATTGCTTTACGTATAAAATAAATAAATAAATAAATAAACAGTTTCATATAAATTGACATCCTTTTCTCAATCAAATCCCATTCTTACATACAATCCTTTTATCATAGATATTTCAGTACTAAATATTAATTAATACAATTATTCAATATATTATTAATTAAAATAAGTCAAATTTACTCGATAAAATTAGTTTCTATGAAACTTCATACAAGATTATTTAAGCGTTAAATACAATTATTACAAAAAATATGATTAAACAAAACTTTATAGATTTTTTTACGGAAATCTAAATAATCTTACTATTACACAAAACTCATGTAATTATATCATTTTTTTTTAATTGAATGACAATAAAATTGGTTTTTGTTAAGTTTAGAAGACAATAACTAATGTTACAGCATAATTTTATTAAAAAGAAACTATATTTGTATAATCATTAAAGTATTTCAATGTAAAGTTGAAAAGTCCATACATCTGCACTACTTTGAGAATTGCGTAATTTTAATAAAAATTTAATAAATCTTGAATTTCTTTATTTTGTTATTTTTTGTCTAATCTAATTTGACACCAATTCATTTATTTAATCTGTTAAACAAATACTCCTTTAGTGTAAGTGTAAGTAAATTAATATAGTGGTAAATATCCATAATTTCTACTGTTTTTTTTATTAAATTTTAATAATTTGTTACTATGAAAATGAACAAATTTCATAATCGTTATAAATTCATATTTATATAAAATGTGAGCCATGAATAAGTCATGAATTAAACGTGATCTTTACATTGAAGTATTTGAATAAGACAATGCTTCACAGTTGCTACAATTATCATTAACTTAATTATAATCAAGATTATCAGTTTGCATTAAGGAGTTAACAAAAAAGTTTGTGGATTTTTATATTTAATAGAAAGTAACATTATACAGAATATATACTAAACCAGAAGGAAAATATTAATGAAATGGTTTAATAACTTAAGATAATTAAGCAATTTGTATTATCTACTTAGATTGATGCGATTGATACAATTTGCTATTAGATTTGTATTCTACCAAATGAAACAAGTCTTAAAATGATTGAAATTTATTTAGTTCAAACAGTTTTTTTTATTATGTCATAGTATATTTAATTTACAATCTTATTCCTGGGAATATTAATTAAATCTAATGGAGGTAGACATTTTTTTTAGTAAACTTTCCAAATTTCAATTATATCATCACATACAGTATTTACACAAAACGTTTAATTTAAGACTAATTTATTAAATCTTTAAAAAATTACTGAATATAAAATTTGCATACTGATTAATGTTGTTATTATCTAATTATTTAATTAGATTTTGATGAAATTAGTTGTTTTTAAACCAGATTATAATGCACTTCAATTAATTCAGATTGTTCTATTTTAATTATGCTTTTCTAAATCAAAGTAAAATGTTAGTTTTTTATTATAATTATAAATTTTATCATATATTTTTTTTAATTATTCCAAAGAAATTATACATATTTTATAACTTTATTTTATGTAAATACGTACAGTTTAAAACCGGACTAATGGAGAACTTTAAAACCGCATAAAAATGAAAAACGATAATTTATGTACAAAATTAATAATTAATATAATTAATATTAATAATTTGTATACAATTAATTTATATTAAAATTTAGTTTGTTTTGAAAATTTCAAACCGGACTGTAGTAAATCCGGACTAATTGAATTTGCACCAAAGAATAACTAAATTATGAACGTTCTAATGTAAAAACGTTCATAATTTAATTAATAGCTGTAAAATTTGAAAATTTTCATATGGAAACACACAATTTCTTAACAATATTGATTTGTTTCTGTACAGATAGAACAGCGATTAAAGTTATCATTGACCTTCCTGATTTTATTAATACTTACGTAGCGTTATGGCTCATAAGAGGTAAGGAATAAATTAGTTTTTAAGACCCGGCATTAACATGTTCACTGCAAGTACATAAACGTTCCGCATAACCATATTTATTAACAGGTCGAGCCGTTTACAAGCAAAATATATTACGCATTCACGCAAATAGAGTCATTTATATTATTGTCACAATAATAATCATAATTATTATTATTACAGTTACGACCGTTCTTTTACATTTCGCTTCACGTTCACAATATACATAATATAAACTTCAATACATTTTGCAATAACAGAAATTTTCGCAGAATTTAACAAAGTGTGAGGACAGAAATTGTCAATAAATCAATAAGAAATATATTTATATAATTGTGTACAAATCATTTAATTAGATCTGAATTTGAAATCTGAAAATTTCCGAATATTAAACAAGTTTTTCTTCACAGAAATTAACATTAATTTTTCAAAACCAAATTGAAGTTAATCTAATTCATTGATTATTCTGTAATTCCAGAATATTTGCACAATGATTTTTGTGTGCCTCACATTGTGCGTCTTCGATTAGTGCGGATCCACTATAACACGGTTTGAAAATAAATACATTTTCGGAAAATCAAAATAAAATCTAAAAAACTAAACACAAACAAATAGTTAAGTATTCTTATTGTGCTGTATATTTTCATGCACTTTTAAAGTCTTCGATTAGTGCGGTTTCATATTTATATTGGCGGAACCGATTAACCGCAATATGCGAGGTATTCTTACATAATTTAATTGTATTACTTTTAACATGTTTAGAGATTTTTGTTTTTAAAATAAAAACTGAACTAAAATGAAGTTATTCCAAAATTTTATTCTACAAACATTTTTTTTGAATTATCAGGAAATTAATGAAATGTAATAAGAGTTCGAGAATTCTTGCAAAAAAGATTCTGCATATATTTTAAGTATACTTATATAATGAATTTATACTTAGAAAGAGTACAAACCAAATCAATTTTGCTTATATTCCAAGTATTCTTACATAATTTGCAATATTTAATGTTATTTATATAAAATATAGGAATTTTTGTTTATATAATGAATCAAAAATGTATAAAAATATCCATAATTCTTGTTTTTCTTCATTAATCACCAATTTTCTCACTTAGTCTGTGCTCAGTACAATTTCACCAATTTTGTGCAACATCCATAGCTCATGTTGTTTAACTATTACTAAATGTCAAATAACAAATCTCCAACAGATGGCGTCATTTTCAAATTTGTTTCCTTTTTAATATCTTTGCTCAAAATCTTTGAAATATATAATGATCAACAAGATTTTTTTTCTTAATTTAGTTGACTAAATATATTACATTTATTTTTTAAATAATGAATGAAAAGTGTAATTTTTTCAAATGTTCTTTAAATTCTTTTAACACAAAAGCATTACACCATTAAAAAAATATCTATAATTCTTGTTTTAAACAACAATTTTCTCACTTAATCTGTGCGCAGTACAATTTTGTCCAAAATCCATAGTTCATATTGTTTAACTATTACTAAATGTCAAATAACAAATCTCCAACAGATGGCGTAAATATGTTTTCTTTTTAATATCTTTACACAAAATCTGTGAAAACAACAGCGATAAATTGAAATATTTCGCGACACATTCCACGGTTGCATTCTTTCAGTTATAATTCAAAACGTTCTGACGTGTTAATCATGCAAATATCGCACATAATTGGATGCATATCGCTGAACCGTGTGGACAAACAGAAATAAAAAAGGATAAAGCTCGAAAGTATTTCAGCAATTTAATTTATTTTAATTTATGTAGGTGTGAGTTTTTGTTTCTGCACCAAATATTTTTTAGGGGGTTAAAATAACATTCTTTTCTTTGAAGGAGTGAAATTGTTGTCGAGCTTCTCTACCTGTCTCTGCTCCCCTCCGGGCCCCTCGTCCTTCACCTGGCAATAAATTTATAAACAATTAATCGAGTGACCTTCTCTCTTTCGAGAGAGAAATAGGGTTAAAACAAACAACAAAAAAAATAGAGAAAAGACTCGTGGAATTCCACGAACGAAGCACCCAGAAAAACCGCATCATTTGTTCGATCGCTAACTGAGCAATTAATTAAAATACGAACAGGGGGAGAAGATAAGAGAAGATGGAGATAGAGAGAGAGAGAGGGGTGATGAAGAGGAGGATGTGAACTGGGTGGGCAATCAATGCGATTAATGCTCGCTTGACTAATTCCGAACACCCAATAATAAACTGTCCGCACGTTTCACTTCTTCCACAACAAGAAACGAAGAAGACCAAGAAGAGAGGAGACCCGACGACGGATGGAGCAGAGCAAATAAAGAACGAACCAGGTTGATTACACCTGCTCGACTCACGTCACGAAAATTCCAGATCCCATTCGGTTTCGAGCCTTTGACGACATACACATTTGCCCATCGATTTACGTTTTCTCTCTCCAATTAAAACATCCATCCAACTTCCAAATCTCGACTGCTCGATCAGTATACACACTACATTCAATCCAATTTTCGTTTTCTTATTCAATCCGAATCACTTACATCAATCATATTATAAAGTATAAATGTACTAATTAATTGCATTTGCATCAAAAATTTAAATTAAAATGAACAACTACTTCTCAATTAATTAACAAACGAATTGATTAAATTGAATTTAAAAAAAAAATCAAAATATTTATAAAATTATCACAATTTCAAGTTATTATTATTGAAACAAATGCAAATTGAGTCTATCAATAATTATGTATATTCAATTTAAATTTTCTTAAAAACAATAAAAAACATAACACGCCATCTATGATACAAATGACACAACTAAATCTGACAGCTGATTTGACATATCTTTGTTTTATGAGTATGTCAAATAGATATACAGGATGGTCCATTTATTGAAGTTTTCTAAATCTTTGTTTAACAATGAACACGATTAACATTGCAAA